GCAACCCCCCGGCCCATCCAAGTAAAACGACTGATACATGAATTAAGTCATAATTAAGTCACATCAACTAGCTATACTACTTGGAGACAGTCAGCTTATCAGATTGTACTAAACAAGTATAGAGTACGCACTATGCTCCAACACGATTAAATGACGTACTTTGGCGTAATGCCACAAAACATGATGAATAACACTGAAACCTGGCAGTGCATCGGCCGACGGCGCAGCAAAAGCACCACCATAATCTCAATCACCATCCTGTTCACCAACATCTTTGTCGGTACTGCCTCTATTCGCGAATCCAGAACTACACACCCTGAACCCTGACTTGCACAATCACGTGCCGGTGCTACGCACGGCCATGGACGTGGACTGTGAAGGCTGCCACTGCGTCTGCATTGGCATGGTGCCAGGTTGGGTCATTGCCTCCATCTCATGGCCAAGATTGTATCGGGGGTGTTGCGGTTAGGGCATCATTTCTGGGCTGGCATGTAAGACTCGGGTTCACGGCTTGAGGTGCTGGTTTGAGATCAAGGTGTAGCGTTCAAAGATTCTCGCCTGGGGTGTCGATTTTGGCGGTCAGCCGCCGATGTTTACAAGCGTCTCTGGCTCAAACTTAACAGGCTGCTGCGCCAACATCCTCCGCTGTCCGTCTGGTGTCCATGTATCGCTTCATGCACAGAAGGTTTTCATTCAGGTATGGCCACCCTATAGCAAGAGCTCGGGGACAAGTAGCAAGTGGTCATTCTGGAATGCTTCGTATAGGGTTTGTTGTATCGAATTTACAGTGGGATCGGCTACTATTCTTGTTGTGTTCAACTCCAAAAATCCTTGTAGGATATGTAGTTCCAAGCATCGTGCCCTTCTTAACATATCAGAAACGACGCCTGCACCGTTGCCTTGGGCTGGGCAATGGACTGCGTCATGGACTGTGCCATGGGTTGTGCAGTAGACAGGCCGGGCTGCGGTGTCTGCTGCGCCATAGCCTGCAGTTTCAGTTTCAAGCTCTGGAGCCCTGGAAGACATAAGCCCGAAACACTACACCTCGTGAGCCTCAAGACCAAAGCATGCCCAAGAAATGCGCACGTAGGCATCAGGCCTCAGGCCTGGAACGAGTATTTGATCGGCTCTAAAAAGCGCAAGCTTTCCCTGAATATTCGGATCTGGAGCTGTTGGAGTCTTCAGATGTTAGCCTGAGGATTATGGCTATTATGTTGGGGCCTGAATGACGTTAATAAGTTGTTGGTAATCATTGAGGCCCCTTTAAGCTATAGGGCCTATAAGCCCAAGGATGACAGAAAGGCAGGGAGTTTCTCTTTCAAAGGCTTAGGAGCTTGCCCTCCTCCCCGGAACTCGCACCACAGAACTTGCAGAAGCACTCCTTACAGACTGCCCCCCTAAATCCTACAACATAAGTCCGTCGCTTCAGAGAGGTAGCGTGAGGCTCTTTGGGAGTGGGGATGAGCAGAGAGTTCAGAGGCATGGGGATTTCGGGCTTCGCTTTGGGAAGCCCCAAAACACACATTCAGTAAAAAGGATAGCGTCTCGGAGCAGCTTCTGTTATGAACATATGTTGGAACTATAATATCAGGGCCATTGTGAGCCTAGTTACGGTAGCTGTTCAGACCTACGTATCACACCCCAAGCCCCAAGCCACACTAGCCCCCAAACCCCGAAACCTCTTGCGGGCTTAGTTCCGAATGCCCCTTCAAGCCTCAAGCCCCAAATTGCAAACGGCCTAAAGCTCCCTGGAACCAGAAACCCAAAACCCTTAAACACTGAAGCCCTAAACTCTACACCTTCCCAAAGCGACAAAGTGGCCGGTACCATTGGCCGACCAAACGCTGGCGATGCTGCTTCGACTTCATCGATTTCCTGTGAAGCAAGTATCATGTTAGGTTTAGGTTGGGAATTTCAGGACTAGGCTATACTTGTCATACTATACTAGACATATAATACTATACTATACTATACTATACTATACTATACTATACTATACTAAACTATGCTATACCATACTATACCATACCATACTATATGATGCTATACTATATACTATATACTATACACTATATACTATATACTATATACTATATACTATATACTATATACTATATACTATATTCTATACATAGATACTATATACGATACATATATACACACAATAATATATATATATATACCAGATATATGCACTATATATACTATATCTTCTACATATATATATATATACATACTATGTACTCTATAGCATATACTATGTGTTATATACTACACGCTATATACTATGTACTATCTACTATCTACTATATACTATACCATCTACTATATACTACTATAATACTAGTATTAATACTAATGCTAAGACTAAGACTAAGACACACACTAAGACTACGACGAAGACTCAAACAAACACAAATACTAATACTAATACCTATGCTATACTATGTTATGCTATACTACACTACCTTATTCTATACGTCATTTCTTTATACCTTGCATCATTATATATGCTATGTACTACACACTTATATGCTATCTATATATGTATATACATATATATATATATACATATACATATATATATATATATGTATTGTATACGGTATACGATGTACTATATATTAGCTATAGACCATATGGGACTACTCTAATCTATGTACTGTATATTGTATGCTATATACCATATGCTATATGTGGTACACTGTATACTGTACACTGAATAGTATATACTACGTACATGCTACACACTGTATACTATTCCGCAATGTACTTTTCCAGATTCTACAAAGTCACATTGCCTCTTCTTTCAACATGGCTTTTTCAACAATACTTTGATCGCAAACTGCAGTGTATCGCAAACCGAACCGATTGTATCGCTGATTACTTGACCCCGTACCGAACCGATCGAACCGGTCCGCTAATATCGCAAAACACACCCCGTCAGCCACACCAGCCACACACCACCATCCGCCTACACCCCCACCAGCCACGCCCTCACCAGCCACGCCACAAAGGCCCCCACCAGCCACACCAGCCGCACCCCACCAGCCACACAATGCATCAGCCAGCCCCTAGCCCTAGCAAGCAGCCTTTCGCCCAGGTGGCTCGAGGCGGGTGGCTGGACGGGGAACGGTTGGAGGAAGGTGGCTGGAGGCGGGTGGCTGGAAGAAGGAAGGTGGCTGAAGGGTTGTTGCTGGATCCAGCCACCTGCCTCCAGCCACCCGTATCCAGCCACCTGCCTCCAGCCACCTTCCTCCAGCCACCCCTATTCCAGCCACCTGCCTTCAGCGACCTTCCTCCAGCCACCTTCCTCCAGCCATCCGCCTCCAGCCACATCCAGCCTTCTCTCGCCACCCCTATCCAGCTCCAGCCACCCGCCTCCAGCCACCTTCCTCCAGCCACCTTCCTGCAGCCACCCCTCCAGCCACCCCGCCTCCAGCCACCTTCCTCGTCTCCAGCCACCTTCCTCCAACCACCCAGCCACCTTCCTCCTGTTCCTTCCACCACCAGAGCACAGCTGGCGAAGGGCGTCCAGGGTGAACAGGGTGCCACGCGTTCTCAGCCGGCTGTGCTCTGAAGCCAAAAGAGGACGGAGAAGAATGTTGGAGGCGGAGATGGTGGTGGGGATGGCTGCAGCGGGAGGTTGGAATTGGCTGGCTGAGGTGGCTGGGAGTGGCTGGAGGGGTGGTTGGAGGAAGGTGGCTGGATGGAGGCGGGTGGCTGGAGACCGGCGAGTGGCCTGGAAGATTGGCTGGAGGTGGTTGGAGGAAGTGGCTGGAGGAAGGTGGCTGGAGGAGGGCTGGAGGAAGGTGAATACCGCATACGTATCGGTATCGACCGAACCGCCCGATTACAACCCTGTTCAAGGCTTTACGGGCGAGGCTCTCCGGGCTGTAAGGCCCTAGAGTCTGGCAGCTTATAGTATATAGTAAACAGTCTATAGATAAAAATGTATAGTATATAGACAGTATACAGTATATAGATAGTATATAGTATGTAGTATATATATATATTAGATAGCTTGCTGGGCTGAAGGTTTTAGGGCCTGGGCGGTTGGAGGTTGGAGGGCTCCTTTTAAGAGTCCCTGTCAAGGCGTCCATAGGGGTTCTGTGCTATAGGGCCGTAACAAAACGGTGCTTTTGTTTGCGGGGGAAATGCATGTTAAGAGCAGCTTAGGAATAGTACTACAGTAGTTGAAATGTTGTCCCCTATACCACAGGGTGTAGTACACCGACAGGTTCAGGTTTCCTGGTGCGCCGGCTTCAGCAGGTCGAACGATCGGAGTTTTGAGGTTTAGGTCTGTAGGGTATGTTTTCAAGTGCAGCAGCCTTTCATCCGCATGAAGCCTGCTCAATATAGAGCTTGTACGTCTGACGGGCCCCGAAACGCCCACAACTCATCCGTTGCAATCGGCACTTCAGGACTGGAAGCAACAGACACCACGGTTTAGGCCTTTCGGGTTTAAGGGTTGGAGTTTAGGCTCTATGGGGTTAGGAGTTCGAGGTTTCGGCTATGCTTAGTTCGACCTGCTTAGGCGTTTTCCCTTGCAGAAAAGCAGCGACCGGGGCCGACAGACAAGGTACTGACAGGTCTGTTGAGGTCCCAGGCACATGTTTTCAGTATGATGCCAGTGCCACCGAGTTGTGGGAAGTGACGCTAAACTAAGCCCTACCCAGAGCTTGGTGGGCATGTGAACAGCTACAAGATGCTACATATTCAATAATTTGTGTTGAAAGTGGTGATTGTCGACATGGGGCCATGGATAGCGATGACAACCTTCTTATTCCTACGACTAACTCTAATACTACTGCTGTTGCCGTTGTTGATGCTGCTGTTGTTGTTGTTGTTGTTGCTGTTGTTGCCGCTGCCGCTGCCGCTGCCGCTGCCGCTGCCGCTGCCGCTGCCGCTGCTGCTGCTGGTGTTGGTGTCGTTGATGTTGCTGTTGTTGTTGTTGTTGTTGTTGCTACTGCTGCTGCTACTGCTGCTGCTTGATGGTTGACAGCCTGACAGCACCTCACGTGACAGAGACTAGAGCTGCTCACGTTGTGGCTTCCACGTTGCT